GCGTTATTCGGTGTACAGTTGTGTACGCTTTGAGTGGTGTACAGTCGTGTACGCGTTGTGCGGTGTACAGTTGTGTACTTATCCAATTGTACGTATTTGGCACGGCACCGCCTATTGTCACCGACAAGGAAAATAAGATATGAGCCTCTCCCACCCCACCTCCCGCCTCACCAGCACCCCGCGCCTAGTGAGTGGATAATAAGGAAATGTCGGACTAAAACTCTTTCCCAACTCTCCTTGGCCGTTATTGTAGCGTTGAAAATCATGAACATTTTCCTTGGATAATTTAGTAGTTTGGATACAGTTTAGTGAGGGGCTTTGTTGTTATAGAGGTCTATTCAATCTATATAGCAGGCTCACAGCCCTGTTATCATTTTATGCATTACCGTATTACAAATTAGCTATATCATACCCACCCTGCCTACAAATATATTGTGTTAACATAAAACCAGAGGAAGGCCAATTTTTTTATCAGATTTTTTCTTCCTTAAGCTGTTTGAATTGAGGAGTTTTGACGATTGAACGAGTTCGTTCAAATACACATTTATAGGAAGGAATTAGGAAAACGGGTCAATCCAACCTCCCATTCTTGTAAGGTGTGGTTCATAGGCCTACGTCATTTTTGCTTGGTAGGTATTAAGGTCACAAATATTACATGAGACAACTACATCTTGTGCTGAGTCTCCATACCAAGTCTCGTCTTTCTTAATTTTGTCTTAATCCTGTTCATATTATGTTATGGAGATTTGGCTAATACCATCAATTAACTTTGCCCGTGTGGACTAAAACAGTGCATTATTATCCGCCAATATTCACATAGTTCATAATTATAAAATATTTTTTTTTCAGTTAACTTCAATAACATTTATAGCAATTAATTGTAATACAGTAATTAGTCTTTACCATTTACAGAAACATTCTTTAGTAACACATAACTAACATAGCCTAATTTTTTACAACGATTAGTGTAGCTGTGTAATGTGTGTGTTTAACAATTATTGCATTTATTTTTATAAACCACTTTTACCAAATTTCCCATATAGGGAATAAGCTATTACCGTAGTACTCATGGTAAGACCTGGACTCGGGACCGATTTTTTTTCGTTTTGAGGTCCCTAGAGGACAAAAACACCATCCGTTCAAATTCATATATATATGTGTGTCCGTTAGCACGATAACTAGCGCAAAAATGATCCGATTTTGATGAAATTTGGTATGGTATAAACGTGTAAACCTATATTTATTCGAACGAGTTCGCGAACCAGCATAATCGGACTATGGGAACGGGGGTTTATGGGGGCTTTTATGGGGTAAAAATGGGTTTTCCCATTTTTGACCCAAAAAACATAAAATTTTGCAATTTCTTTTCAAACCATTTTGTAGAGCTTAAAAAACAAATAATTTATTATATTGAAGCGTTATTATGCGCCTAATGGTTACAGAGAAAATTAAAAAAAAAATTTAATTTTAAAATTGTCATGTTATTCTTATGGAGAACAAGTAAACTGTTGTAGTTTGCTTGTTTATGAACATATTTTGATTAATGTGGAAAATGTTTTTATTTGTTACTGACTATTATCATTAAACAAACGGAAAAAAAACTGTTTTACCCTCCCTGATGCAGCAAACCTAAGTACTTGTTAAACTAATTCTATTTAAATAGGAAATAAATGTTATATTTTTAAGTAGACATTTTAGTGTAAATCCAATCAGGCAAATGGAAATTTGCTTAGTCTGCAGGTTTGCTGCGGTGGGGGTATTTTGTTCTATTTCAGTTTTGAAAATTATTTAAAATACAAAACACTTTTTAAGGGGGACTATCTGTTACCCACGGGCTTCGCCCCGTTTGACTTCATTAATATTAATAAAACTATTGATTGGTCAAGTTAAGCTGAAAGTACCTGGGGACCGAGCTTTGCTCAGTGAAAATCGTTAGTTTACCCTGAAATCAGTCTTAGTATTTCAGATATATGAATCCATTCCCCACACTCCGCACTGCAATCTAATCGTCATAAACAGTTCCCACACTCCGGACTGCTCGCCTTTACTACTTCCTTCATCACTTCCTATGTCGAGCATTTTAGGATTGTAGATAACTTAATCTAATCGTCATCAACAGTTCCCACACTCCAGACTGCTCACCTTTACTACTTCTGTCATCAATTCCTACGTCACAGACCTGTTTTCCTCCCTTCACATAGAATTTTAGGATTTCATATATCTTAATCGAATCGTCATAAACAGTTCCCACACTCCGGACTGCTCGCCTTTACTACTTCCTTCACCACTTCCTACGTCGTGGACCTGTTCCCTCCCTTCCCATAGCATTTTAGGATTGCAGATACCTTAATCTAATCGTCATAAACAGTTCCCACACTCCGGACTGCTCGCCTTTACTACTTCCTTCACCACTTCCTACGTCGTGGACCTGTTCCCTCCCTTCCCATAGCATTTTAGGATTGCAGATACCTTATTCTAATCGTCATCAACAGTTCCCACACTCTGGACAGATCGCCTTTACTACTTTCTTCATCACTTCCTACATCGCGGACCTGTTTCCCTCCCTTCCCATAGCATTTAAGGATTGCAGATACCTTAATCTAATCATCATGAACAGTTCCCACACTCTAGACTGCTCGCCTTTACTATTTCATCCACCACTTCCTGCGTCGTGGACCTGTTTCCCTCCCTTCCCATAGCATTTTAGGATTGTAGATAACTTAATCTAATCGTCATAAATAGTAAATAGTTCCCACACTCCAGACTGCTCGCCTTTACTACTTCCTTCATCACTTCCTACGTTGCGGACCTGTTTCCTTCCCTTCCCATAGCATTTAAGGATTGCAGATACCGTAATCTAATCTTCATAAACAGATCCTACACTCCACACTGTTACCCTTGACTACAATGTATCGAGTAATCATCAGTATAATCTTTGCTCAATAGTAACAACTGATGTTTTTCCTTTTGTACTGTATTTTTGTTTTGCTAGTATACTGTGGATAGACAATTTCATGTCTTTTGTTTATTTTTTCCTTGTTATTTAATTCAGCCAAGATGGTTACTTAGCAACCCACAAGACTAATGTAAACAAAATGTGACTTTCAGTTTCATTTTTCTACGTAATTAGATTTTTGTTGGCAGTTCTAACTGCAGTAAACTCGTTTTTAGGCCAGGAATAAACTATTTACAACATTTGAAGAAAATAGTCGGAGCCGTTTTCGAGATCTTTGTGCAAGCAAGCATACATACATACATACATACATACATACATACATACAAGTAAACGTTGCTCATATTAGAGTATAGGATAGAATTTTCATTCCATAAGAGCTAAGCCTCAAGCTGTTAGCAAATTCTCCATATATGGATATTATTACTGTAGGTTTCATGGTAAGACCTGGACCCGGGACCGATTTGCTTTTCCGTTCTGATATCCCCAGTGGTAAAAAACACCATCCGTTCGTTCAAATTAATATATATATATATTGATGGGGTAGAATAATCACACATATACACATTGAATTGTTAGACTCGAGTAAAAATCATCCGATTTTGATTAAATTTGGCACAAACGTTTAAACCTATGTTAACTCGAACAACTTCGCAAACCAGCATGATCGGACCATGGGAACAGGATTTTTTTTGGGGGTGAGGTTATGGTGTAAAAGTAGGGTTTTTTTATTTTTTTTACCGTACGCTAAATCATAGAATTTCCCAATTTCACAAACCATTTTGAATGGCTTAAAAAAAAAATGGAAAAAAAATACTAAATTTAAATCTCCCATGTTATTCTTATGGATAATTATAATTATATAACATAAACCGTTTGCCTGTTTATGGATATATTTTGATCAAACTTGGCAAATTTATTTATTTTATATCAAGCTTTTAATATTTTACCTTTTAAACACTCTTTATGACCCTCCTTGTGTCAGCAAACTTAGGTACTCGTTAAACATAATCTTGTACAGATTTAAGTGAAAATGAAAACAGGCAAATGTAAATTCGCTTAGTCAGCAGGTTTGCTGCGGTGGGGCATTTATACATTGGCAAGGCCGAGGTTGAAAAAGGAGGGATGGTTGAAAAGAATGACCCTACTTTTGGCCCTCGTGATTCAAGGTGCATGGAGTAAAAGATTTACTCCATAAAAATCCGGTAAATATCCGGGGGTAAAAATCCTAGCCGTACATTTACAGTTACCTAAACGCTAGTTATATGGACAGGGGGTAAAATTCAAGTTTATCACGCTCTGTCTATTTTCATTAGACTTCCAAATCCGCAGGGGTAAAATTCCGCCCACGAACAAACTGTAGAGCGCTCAGGTTACTACGTCATAGTGACGTCAGCTTTGCCCAGGGGGTAAAAATCCCAGCGACCCACCGACAGACGTGGTGTGTTGACCCTTTATTAAATAAACAGCGTAGCGATTTTTTTTTGTATGCGCGTAGTAATCCGTCTGAGGATAGATAGGCGCCAGTGTGTTTTGGCCTTAAGAATTAGAATTCATTAACCTTTATGTTAATGGAATGAATCTGATAATTTTAAATTACTATTTTAGTGGAAATCCAGCCAGGTAAATGGAAATTTACCTAGTCTGCAGGTCTGCTGCGGCTAGAGTTGTTATTTAATGTTAAAACAAAATCTACCAAAAATCATATTTTTTACAGTTCTATTCAATTACAGTTATTAAATTCAGTGGTGGTTATTGGACCTTATTTGTCAAGGAAGGGGGTGTTTACACACTCCAAAAAAGAGGTGTTCCAGGGGCCACCTCCTCTGCAAAATTTGGTATTTTTTAAGGTGTTTGGTGGCTTTCTAAATCCATTTAAGTCTAGAACTGTGTCCAAAAAACATCCGTTACATTTTTAGCACTAATTAAATGTTTACATTTATTATTCCTTGGAATCCCTTCCCCCCCTTGTAACCCCACTGATCTGGATGTTAATTACAAATTGAAGATTGAAACAAAATTCTCACCTTTGTTTTTGATGTTACAGGTTGCCGAGAGTGTGAAGAGTGAAACGGAATTTGACACTGTCAGAGAATTAAGACTGAAGCTACAGCATTGCCAAGAGGAGAACTCCAAACTACAGGCTGTCATCACAGATGTGAGTGAACTGAATCATAAAGATTATCCGCACTTGGTTGTTTAACAATTCCCAAAATGTTGAAGATGACAAAAGTTTTATATTCGATTTTTGTTCTTCAGTTTAGTATGGTTAAAAATATATTTGCCAGAACCCTAATACACACACATTATTTAGAAGCCTGTTATTTATTTACTACATTATTGATCATTAAAACTTTCAGGCCGAGGCCACACTCATCTTACCTCACTAAATTTTTTCCACGTGCGTTACAAGTGGGTTTGAGCGATACATTACGATATATGGTCTAAAACGATACCACTTTAGGGGAAAAACGTCCGTACCAAACGGAAGTGCACGTGCATTCTCAACTAACATTCCACGGGCGTTGCACGTAAAACTAGTCGTCGGGCATTGCAGCTTATGAGAGTGAACACTCACCTATCTCGCTTAATTTTTCCACAGATCTTCTAGTTTTAACCTTACTGATTAACTGTGTAGTGAGGGGGGGAGGGTGCAGATCACAAACACCGACGATTTTTACTGCTAGTCTGGCATGCTCTACCATCTCGTAAGACAATTGTGGCCACGGTAAAACTGTTCAACGTATGTTGCATGTGAAAAGAGAAGAACCAATCTCGCTGGTTAAAAGTAACAAGTGGGGCCTGGTCTTAGAGGATGAGGGAGGAATCAACAAAAACTAGAACACTTAAATTACAAGGGCTAATATTTTTGATTCAATAAAAAGTTTGTACAAGAAACAAATCATACATTTGACAGAGCAACTAAAATACTACTTTTCCACATATCCACCAAACCATTTGAGGCATTTTCAAAGTGGTGGACTACCTTTGAAATCCCACGCCGAGCTCATCCACCCAGTGACACGCTATTATTGGTCCTCATCCACTGTGCTGCTAAGTCTTCATGTTGGTACACAAAATAGTGAAAGTCACTTGGACTTTAGGGTACGAGGTTGAGGGTTAAAAGAACTTTTACTTAAATTATTGTAGGAAATCAAGTGTATAATTTGACATGTAACGCCGGGCATTGTCATGCAAACACAAAATTTTGAATGTCAACTGTTGTTCCAGAAAATGAAGCGGAGCGGAACACCAATGTAATCTCTTTTCCGCTCTCCGCGCTCCTCTTCCATGCCTAGGAAAACCCAGCTTAAGTGTTTGGTGATCTTATCTTATATATCTGTGTGGTGACATGGCTCAGCTACTACCGGTGCAGGATCGAGCTTTATTCATGCCATCTTATATTTCAAATCAGTGGTATACACATGGATTTGTTGCATACGAACACATTCAAATCAATTTTCAACTAAAAACTGTCATGTGTCCGGTGAGGATCAGTAATTTATGTTTTGCTCTTACTAATACAAAACGAATACAAAGGAAACGATACAAGAGGAAGATTGTATTCTTTTCTTTAAGATTCATATAAATAATACCAACAAAATCATAGAAATATGCAAAGCTGTGTGTATCATGGCATGGAAATTAGAGGTGCTAACAAGGCTACTGACACCCTTAAAATCTACTAAGCAGCATGGTCCTGTAGCATTAATTCGTGTCATAAACAAACCTTTAATAGCCGCAATATTGAGTTCCTATGAATGCCAATCTTTTGAAAACATCCTAAGATTAGCCAAAGGATTTTTGGACCGATGCGGGATTAAATTATATTATATGGTGCCGTTGTCACTTTCTACAATATTTTATATGATCATGAAGAAGTCTTATTACATTTGAAAATGCAGATTTTATATGAATTTGTTGAATTCATTAATTATAGAGGACCCACATCATACAATAATATGTAATATAATACAATAATGTGGTACCGATTGTCCCTATTGTAACTAAATTTGTAAAACGGCCAACTAATGCCAATTAAGTGTACCCGAAAATCATTTTTATTGACACCTGCATTTAACAAATTCCAAAGCATGACATAGAACCAAGCAGTTGTTGATATTGGACCAAGAGAATTCAGTGCTGGGATGACGTATGTTGTAGTGAGGCCATCCGAACAATATATGAACTGCTTTCGACACAGGATTTCCAAACGAACGTCTGAAAAAGAAACTAATCCAAGATAAACGTTTGTTATCTCTGTTATAAAGATTTTTTTAGTTTAGTTTGAAATGTTCACATTTGTTTAAATTAATTGACCAATCAATAAAAGTTATCACTACACAATCTTTTGTCTATTTTAAATCGTAGGTATCAATAGTTTTGAAGCTTTATAATGATGGTCAATGGCATCAATGACCCTGATGACTCCGCTCAATTTTGTGGACATGTCTGCGAACGCCACCTAGTTACATTGTGTCCGTTTATTTCACACCCTTGATGATACATTTCTATAGGTTTTATTTACGTGAATGGCAAACAAATTTGTATTAGAGACCGCACCTCTCAACTGGCGAGATTTTCAATTCCAGCTAATTTTTTTAACTGTAATTTTGTGTGTCAACCGGCAATACAACGAAGCTTACCCTGTAATGGCTGGACAGTCTTTTAGTACGCAAACACGTCTGTACTAGAAAGTACAGTACTAATGCGTGCCTTTGGGCATCAGACGGAAACGTCTGAACTTACTTTCTGAACAACCCTTGTACATAAGATTCCAATTGGTTACTTGCAAGACAAAGGGGTTTAAGTACATAGACTTATATGTACTTGCGCCCCTTCGTCCAAATATACCATACCTACTGAGCCTGCCCCTCGCACCGTCCCCAGACGAGCAACTAGTGGAAGCATGCCCCTCCATAGTGACAGTGTGAGTGTTCGCCCCACATCCCTAACTAACATCTGAAACACCGTGGGTGAACTTTAAAGACAAAACAAATTATGAACAAACTTCTATAATAATTGTAAAAAAAAAACAACAACAACAAAAACAACAAGGTACAACCATCCAAAGAGAATTACTTAAATATTTAAATTGAAAGATTTCAATTTACACTTCTGTCCTCACAAATGGGAACTGAAGAATTCTCATTTAAATAAATTAACTAATAATTAGATTTTAACAACAAATAAATAACAGGTCATGACTAGTAAGTTAAACCATTTATGGGACCGCTTTAAAATTTTTAACAGTTATTCAGTCCAAAAATCTCAAACAAATTTAAATGATACCTTGCAGTAGGAATGTCATTTCAAACTGGTGGTAGGCGGCAATGGTACACACTGGAAGGTAGATGGCGGAGAGGGCGGCTTAATGGTCCCCGGAGTAGCAGGGTGACTGGCAGCCTGAAGAGGGAGGAGGTGGAGGTTCTCCCAAGGTGACTCTCTCTGAGGACAGCAGCAAGTTGAAGCCTGTCTTTGGCACACTTAACTACATAATACCGATGAGGAAGAACAAAATTTTCAGACCAAACTACAAAAAAATGTCTAACACAATACAAGAAACAACAAACAACGGTCTTCGCAGTTTGACAATCACAGGCTTTATGTCAAACATGTGACAGACAGTGGACATTGACTCCGGGTCTGCAGGTTTGCTGCAAGACCCAATCCGAATTAGTTCTGTAAAAAACCAACAGTGCACTACGGCTCTCTACACTATTTTACTCTGTTATAGATAGAAGAATTTGAGTATTGATTTATGAGATTATATCGTAATTAAACTGTAGAGGAGAGGTAGGCTTCCATCACCAAAGTAAATCAATACATTTTGCATGCTTGTTCTCGAAAGAATGCCTCTTTTAAAGTGTCGAATGTTGATGTTGCAGCTCACCCAAGTCAACAAAAGGTGGCAGAAGTATAATAATGATAGGCAGATCTACGTACAGCAGTTGCTCAATACTATTCAGGATCAGCAGGAGCAACTTAACCACATTGGGGAGAGAACGTTCAATAGCTCATCATCAGTTATCACCCAGGTCAGTAACTCCTTACCATCCCATAGCTATAATAGGCTAACTCCTTATCTTTTATCAGCTAGCACTCCTGTCAGTATCACTCATTACCTTCCAATAGCTAGGTTAGTAACTCCTCATCAGCTAGTAATCCTGCCAGTATGACTCCTTACCTTCCAATAGCTAGGTTTTTTTAGGGAGAGGAGGTAAAAATGCTTTTGTGCATACAGGTAGCCAGCCTGTAGTGTGAGACTCCTGAGCTTGTCAGACTACTCACTAAAAAACCCCCTCTACTCTGTTGGACACAGACCTGGGATTGTTTGTCACATTACTTCAGGTCAGGTCAACGTGTGATCTAAGCCCTCAGGGCTCGCGCTGTTTCTGGCATTCAATTTCTTTATGACCGAGACTGCATCCCAGTTAAGCTCTAGCTTCTTTGCGCGGAGAATACCCTGGACAAAATGTGACATACAGGTCCAATTGTCCTCACCCTCCGTCATCATCGGAATGACCGTGTCCACCGACAACTGCCCTACATGTTGTTCAGCCTCCAGGCGGGAACCTTACCAACGCTGGCAGCGGAAGAAGGTGTGCTCCGCATTGTCGGTAGTGCCTGGGCAATAGATGCAATCGGGTGACATGGCTTTGCCCATCCTGAACAGGTAAGACCGGAAATAACCGTGACCTGTCAGAAACTGGGTAAGGTAATAGTCCACCTCACCATACCGTCGGTCAACCCATGTTTGGACTTGCTGAATCAGTCTCCTGGTCCAGCGTTCCCGCGACTCCTGTTCCCAGCTCTCCTACCAGAGCTGGTAGGTGCGGTTGCGCTCCTCCGTTTTTGCATGGTCCTCTCCACGCCGCTGAGAAATCGCTTTTCTCTCCACCGCCAAAAGTTTGATGGCGATTACTCCAGCAACCACCAAGATGGCGGGTTCAGACACTGTTTGGTAGGCGGATGCTACCCTGAGTGCTGCCTGACACTGCACTCTGGCAAGCCGCATCCCATACACCTCCCTATTGAGCGCATCTGCCCACACTTCCGCACCATACAGGAGCACAGACTGAACTGTAGACATCAACAGCCTTCTGCGACTGGAACGAGGACCACCGACATTGGCCATAAACCGGCTAAGAGAAGAAATCACCTTAGCGGCCTTGTCCGCCGTTCGGAATATCTGGTCCCGCCAGCTAAGCTTAGAGTCCACCATGACACCAAGATACTTGGCGGCACGAACAGATTGGACTTTGACGTCCCCCACCCTCAACGGCACAATGGTGTCAATCCGCTTTTTGGTCAGAATCAGGATCTCAGTTTTGTTCAGCGCGAGTGAGAGACCGTGATCTGCCATCCATGCGTTTATAGTACACATGACTCGGTTTAATTTTAGCTGGGCCAGCTCAACACTACGAGCAGCTATTAAAGCTGCAATGTCATCTGCTTACCCAACTGAAACGGTTTCCTCAAGCATTTCAGACCTAAGAAGGCTGTCGTAGGCAACGTTCCAGAGGGACGGGCCCTTGGAACCTTGGGCAGCACCAGAAGTGACACTCATCGCCCGCGGGCCTTCTGTAGCCTTCTGTTTATTATACATGAGGAGGCGGAACCGGAGGTAATCCTCTATAATGCGCAAAAGGTATGCCGGGACGTGGGAAGGTGTCCTTCAGAGCGACCAGCATATCGCACCATCTTGCAGAATTAAATGTGTTTCGCACATCGAGTGTAACGAGCAGCACGACCCTACGAGAGTAGTGATTAAAAATCCTCATCCCCCATCATGGCTCGCTTCAACTCCTCAATAGCGTCGAACATTGATCGCCCCTTCCAGAAGCCGTATTGGCGAGGGCTCAGGTCCCCCGCAGCAACCACGGCTGAATTCAGTCAGGAACGGATCAACTTCTTTAGGACTTTCCCAGCCGTATCCAACATGCAAAGGGGTCTGTAAGAGGACGGCAGTTCTAGGCCTCCTTTCCCCTTCAGTACAAGCACGAGCCAATAGCTAGGTTAGTAACTCCTCATCAGCTAGTACTCCTGCAAGTATGACTCCTTACCATCCAATAGCTAGGTTAGTTACTCCTCATCAGCTAGTACTCCTGCCAGTATGACTCCTTACCATCCAATAGCCAGGTTAGTAACTCCTCATCAGCTAGCACTCCTGCCAGTGTAACTCCTTACCATTCAATAGCCAGGTTAGTCAATCCTCATCAGCATGCACTCCTGCCAGTATGACTCTTTACAATCCAATAGCTAGGTTAGTAACTCCTCATCAGCTAGCACTCCTGCCAGTATGACTCCTTACCATCCAATAGCTAGGTTAGCAACTCTTCATCAGCTAGTACTCCAGTCAGAATGACTCCTTACCATCCAATATCTAGGTTAGTAACTCGTCACCAGCTAGTTCTCCAGTCAGAATGACTACTTACCTTCCAATACCTACATTAGTCAACCCTCATCAGCTAGCACTCCTGCCTGTATGACTCCTTACTATCCAATAGCTAGGTTAGTAACTCCTCATCAGCTAGTACTCCAGTCAGAATGACTCCTTACCATCCAATATCTAGGTTAGTAACTCCTCACCAGCTAGTACTCCAGTCAGAATGACAACTTACCTTCCAATACCTAAGTTAGCAATCCTCATCAGCTAGCACTCCTGCCAGTATGACTCCTTACCAGCCAATAGCCAGGTTAGTAACTCCTCATTAGCTAGCACTCCTGCCAGTATGACTCCTTACCAGCCAATAGCTAGGTTAGTAACTCCTCACCAGCTAGTACTCCAGTCAGAATGACAACTTACCTTCCAATACCTACGTTAGCAATCCTCATCAGCTAGCACTCCTGCCAGTATGACTCCTTACCATCCAATATCTAGGTTAGTAACTCCTCACCAGCTAGTACTCCAGTCAGAATGACAACTTACCTTCCAATACCTACGTTAGCAATCCTCATCAGCTGGCACTCCTGCCAGTATGACTCCTTACCAGCCAATAGCCAGGTTAGTAACTCCTCATCAGCTAGCACTCCTGCCAGTATGACTCCTTACCAGCCAATAGCCAGGTTAGTATCTCCTCATCAGCTAGCACTCCTGCCAGTATGACTCCTTACCAGCCAATAGCCAGGTTAGTAACTCCTCATCAGCTAGTACTCCTGCCAGTATGACTCCTTACCAGCCAATAGCCAGGTTAGTAACTCCTCATCAGCTAGTACTCCTGCCAGAATGACTCCTTACCAGCCAATAGCCAGGTTAGTAACTCCTCATCAGCTAGCACTCCTGCCAGTATGACTCCTTACCATCCAATAGCCAGGTTAGTAACTCCTCATCAGCTAGCACTCCTGCCAGTATGACTCCTTACCATCCAATAGCCAGGTTAGTAACTCCTCATCAGCTAGCACTCCTGCCAGTATGACTCCTTACCAGCCAATAGCCAGGTTAGTAACTCCTCATCAGCTAGTACTCCTGCCAGTATGACTCCTTACCAGCCAATAGCCAGGTTAGTAACTCCTCATCAGCTAGCACTCCTGCCAGTATGACTCCTTACCATCCAATAGCTAGGTTAGTAACTCCTCATCAGCTAGCACTCCTGCCAGTATGACTCCTTACCAGCCAATAGCCAGGTTAGTAACTCCTCATCAGCTAGCACTCCTGCCAGTATGACTCCTTACCATCCAATAGCTAGGTTAGTAACTCCTCATTAGCTAGCACTCCTGCCAGTATGACTCCTTACCAGCCAATAGCCAGGTTAGTAACTCCTCATCAGCTAGCACTCCTGCCAGTATGACTCCTTACCAGCCAATAGCCAGGTTAGTAACTCCTCATTAGCTTGCACTCCTGCCAGTATGACTCCTTACCATCCAATAGCCAGGTTAGTAACTCCTCATCAGCTAGCACTCCTGCCAGTATGACTCCTTACCAGCCAATAGCTAGGTTAATAACTCCCCATTAGCCAACGCACAGGCTTCAGCCCTAGGTTAGAAAATTTATAGATTGAATTGATTGTTTTTAACTACAGTGTGTTGACTTGTGTTGACAGAACTGCCAGGTATCAAGTCACAGTCCCCCGGCGGAGGATGAGGTAGAGAGGCTGCGAGGGGTCGAGCAGAAGCTCAAGGAGAAGGTTTCCATCCTGGAGTTCCAAGTCAAGGCCCACCGTGATGATTGGGAGGCTGAGCTCAACGAGAAAAAACAAGCATTGAAAGACAAAGAGGCTGTAGAACTGAAACTAGCAGAGCTTCTGGCAGAAATGCAATTACCAACTGTGAGTTTCAGTTATGGAACAATATTGTCATAGTTCAGTGAAACCTAGACTATTCGGCAATATGCAGCACTGTGTTTATGCAAACATTAACCCTTGAATATTTTTTGGCAGCTTCATAATATAAATTATCCTTTAAGTCCCCATTATGATAGTTAGTAATTAAAAGCCAACTTGTAGAAAAAAGAACAACAGCGACATTAAAAACCTTGATTTTTACAGTAACCTCCACTGCCTATTTATGGCATTTACAGCTCACTTGATACTGCTTGGCTCACTGTTAATTGTTTTCCCAACAACTAGCCATTAATATTGTTCCCAATGAATGTTTTATTTATGCAATATGCAAATGACCTTGTTTTTTCAAGATGACAGCTTGTTGCAGCTATTGCACGTGCCATGAAAGATGTAAAAATATTTTTAATACTCAAGATAAAAGACTATGGCTTTGATGAAAACCACGGTGATGAACTGACGAAGTGATTGTACATAATACTTCGTGAAATCACAAAAGCCCAGACTGTTCTTTTGATTTAACATTGTACATGAGTTTTAGATAAAAGTAATTAAAAGAGTTAAATAGAGAACTTTATAAAGGAAAATATTTGTTTTTTATAATAGGTAAGAATCTTTTACAAGCTATTTTCACTATGTTTTAATTAATATTTATGACTAATTTTTCCTTGTTTTTTGTCCAACTACTACATAATCATTTTTAGAACTCATTTTTCTGCACAGTTTGACATGTCTAATGTATTCATATCACTTTTGGTTCCTGATATATAAGCTATTTTGTGCACGGCGCCCCACCCCCTCCCCCCCAACAGAATTGAAAACAAGTTGGAATGCCTTTCAAGAGGTTATCTTTACATGAAAATCATTTTTGTTTTCTTGCTCATTTAGCTTAAAGTACCTGGGGAACAAGCCATGGCTCGCTGTAGTTTATTTAAATTTTTAAAGCAATATAAAGGAAACACGTTTTATTTACAATTAACCTTGGCTTTTAGCGAATTTCCCATGTAGGGAATAAGCTATTACCATAGGTCTCATGGTAAGACTTGGACCCGGGACCGATTTACTTTTTCATTTTGATGTACCTAGAAGCCAAAAACACCATCCGTTCAAATATATGTATGTGTGTGTGTGTGTGTCAGTTAGCACCATAACTCGAACAAAAATGATCTGATTTTGATGTAATTTTGTACATACGAGTAAACCTACGTTTATTCGAACGAGTTTGCAAACCAGCATGATCGGACCATGGGAACGGGGTTTTATGGGAGGATTTATTGGGTAAAAATTGGGTTTTCTCCTTTTTGACCCTCCAAACTTAAAATTTCCCAAATTTTCTCTAGACCATTTTGAAGAGCTTCAAAAAACCAATAATTGAGTATATTGAAGTGTTTCAACTGACTATAAGTTCCCCGTCCGTAAAACGGGTACACAGCTAGTAAGTTGATAAACAAAAATAGATATACTAGATTTCTTACATCGTTGATAGTATTTTAAATTGTTTATATTTTCCAGCCTGTTGGGGAGAGGAGAGAAGGGAGAGTGGAACTGTTCTGTAAGAACTGTGGCCAGGTGAGGGAGTATGACAGATCTCCACCTCCCCGCAGTAGAATGTACCGCACTGCCGTCCACCTGCCCTGCTCCAACGTCTCTGTAAGTTGGCAGTGCATCACTGTCTTAAAGAATTAAAATACAGTATTTGTTATGTTTATATGCCATTAAACAATCAATACCAGCTAAAAGAATTGAAGCTGAATGCAGAGGTGCCTAATGGCCCCTCACCAATTTCACACATCCACTTTCTTCCCTCCCCCTACAACAATTTAAGCCACCTGCCTCCTTCCCACACAGAAACGAAAATTTAAAGCATTTATCAAAGTTTGAAAATGGTGCAATCAACTAGTGTACCTGTTGCTCCAATTCGAGCAATTGCTAATTATTATAGGCGTTATTTTAAAACGAATAACAGTCAAAATGTCTGATGACTAAAATATTCTCAAAGATTATGGAAATACTCAAGATGTACATAACAGATCGATATTATCAACATTTCTTGTAAATATCTTGTAATTTTTCAAAAGCTGATCTTGTTTTTTAGTCTTTTCTACAAAAAGCCTTACTCATTCATAGCCGCATTAGGTTGTCCATAATAACGATTATAAATTCTAAAAAAAACATTATTTCTATTTATTCTCCTTGGTGGTGTTCTATGACTTTCCTATGTTTCCATAGTTAGCAAATCGGCTCTTTCAATGATTACTAAGAAATGCAGCACAGTGTTAATTCAGTTTTCTTTTTAGTATATCAAATTATCCAGGCTCTCTCGCTTTTTTCTATTGTAATATTTACACCAACCCAAATTCAAATAGTAAATATTTCATTTCAACCAAGTCAGTAAATGTTTGTAGCAAACAGTTAAATTAGCAAACTTATTTACAATTAACATATGTTCTTCTTCTCACTTTTAATTTCTGACAACAGCTGGAGTTTCATAACAATTTTTGTTTCTCATGTTTAGAAATACAAAATTTTAATGGGCCCCAGGGCCTCATTCTTTAATTATTTCCCTAAAATGAAAGTTTCCTGCACAACTTTACTTTACGCTCTTTCCAATGACATCAAAAACATGTTAATCGGTTCAGTAGTTTCGGAGGAGTAATTGTCACAAACTACTTCTGGTTATTTCTTGTTTACGATTTCATTCTACAACGCTCCCCCGCTCCCAATAATATATTTTTTTGTAGACTTTAAAAATCGTACTGGAGCTGTATGATTTTGATCCTAAAGACTAAATTGGAGATACAAATTTTGACACATAATTATTATCATTTACAAAACCTTTTATATAACTGAATGGATTATATATTTCTGCCCCTTCAAATCATGATTGGTATATACTTAGAGGTAAAAGAATAACATTTAATAAAACATAAACAGAACAATGTTTTTGTTTTTAAAAGTATTTGAACTTAATTGAATCTCCAACACAACACAAATTTTACAAGCTACGTTCTACGTTGGGACAAGAGGTTTTATATTTATTTATTTTATTATTGTCCCGAGCACGAGACCCCCTTCAACTCTATCGCCGCGGCGCGACCGTTCGTGTGAACGGCTTCATTGAAGCTGAAACTGGTCCATCATAGCCTAGCAGCTATGCTCGTGTAAACCAGGCCTAAGCGTGGGGCCCAGTGCAACTCTGAGGAAAATTTCCTTAGAGTCAAGAATTTTTTTCCTTGTAATGCCTTAAAGTGCACCTAACAATAACCTTAAATATAGGATAACGACAATAAAGCTTAAAAAAGAAGGCCATTTGGTAAGTGTCTGATTAATTTTCGAAGTTATTAATAAAAACTACTGTACAAGGGGGCCCTCTGTCCTCCCATAGATAAGTTCGGCCCTGATCCGACCACCGTTGCACATACTTTTACAGGAGTACGTTTTCACCTAGAAACACAAAATGAAATTATTCCCCCTAAATTACGCATAAGAATAATCCATTTAAAATACTTAGAACATGATCCAAGCACAGGTTATTCCAGAAATGAAGGCCTCGTGTTCGAATCTCAAAATTTCCTCATGTCAACCTATATGACATTGTACATTTTTAAAAAGGTATTGCTTAGAGCATCATTTTGGTGGAAACAGAACTCAATTATCTCAATTCCTCTCAAAATGGCGGCCATTTTTGTGCTCAACTGGCTTTCACTGCTATGAAAGCAATCCTAGTTCAAATATAGGATTGAGCTTTGCCTCTATGATACCTGGTAAGTGTGTTGTAATATTGTTTTTATAGCAGATTTAAAAAAAAATCTGTTTTATTCTCTTCTGTATTAAATGAAACTGTTGTCCGGATATGTCGTTATGACAATAATAGTCCACTATCCCTGCCCTGTGGAGATCATCTCCTGCTACTGTGGCCAAATTTTCTACAATAACTCGTTAACAAACAAAATAAGATTTTATTCACTTCAGTCATCAGTAAAACTAAAACCATGAATGTTTCAAATAATCGGTACTGTGGTAGTGGTAGTGACATTTCGTCTTGTTCTGTTGCAGAGTTACCACAGTTCCTCTACGTCCATATCCACCACAGGAGATGAGCTTGTGATAGACAGCAGCAGTAAAGTGACAGATGATCTCTCTCCACTATGGAACATCAAGGCTGACGAGACGTCATACTCTCGTAGTTCTACAGTACCGTTGGTGACGAGGCCTTCTCCATTACCAGTCACCGTCAAATCCTTTGTACAGATTCCTGTTGTCAAGTCTTCCTCTATGCCAGAAGGTAACGCTTCCAAGATTCCGGATTTACCTCAAATGTCTCTGGGCTCTTTAGATTACTTGACGAATGTTCCTCCGGTTTCCTCGGTCCATTCGTCGGATCAGTACGCTGGAGTGGAGACGCTCTCTGGGGAAAATGTGATTTGCCTTCGTTGTGGTCAAGTTTTTCCTCCTGATATGCACTTAAAGTTCCTGGACCACTTCCCAAAATGTAAGTCAAATAGAAAGACGAATAGTGTTTCAAAAGACAGTCTACCTAAAGTGTGATCAACAAAATGTTATTTTATTTATTTGTTGTTTTGTTATTACTCTAGCTTTATTATGTTTTTAAGTTAACTCGCTTTCAAGTGTGACTGTAATGAGCTCTTTTGAATAATAAGACAATTTATGTTTATCAAAGATAAATTATTGTTGTGATATTTTTTTCAAAGACTAAAAAAAATACCTAATGCTGGGTAGTTTAATCATTATTAATATTATAACAATTGCAGCTTTAAACTATGATTCACCTACTTAAAGGTTTCTCAAATGTTAATTTTATTTTTTTCATACTACTGTACTGTATTTTTTTAATGTTTGAAGCAAAACTAAGAACATTGTTCATAAGCACACAAAAATATACTATATGGTTTTGTTATAACAGGATTTTCAAAAATATTGCTGAAAATAGAAAGTTTAATTCAAACGTTGTTGAACAATTTAAATAGTAGAATGCTCTTTACACAAACATTAATGATCTTGAAGATTGAAGTATTTCACAGAGTTCCTAATACAATGTGAGCACTGAGAGATTATATTGTGATATTCTCTATGGGATTCATCCCCCTAAACATTCAAAGTTACCAAGTTCTTATGTGAATTCCCCTATCAACTGTATTTGTATTTTTGTCAAAGTCTTGCATATTTTAAAATTGTATGGCTAACGACTAAAACAAAGTAATTATTTTTATTGGTTTATTTTGAACACCATTGGTAGGCTATATTGTATGTTTTTTGCTAAAAATGAGATACTAAGGGATCTGATCCCATCTCCACATGATGATTTCACACTTCTATACAACTTAAATAATTAATGAAACAATTCTCCTCTTGTTTACTTTAGTACCATGAATTCTTTCAGATTATGAGTCTGTAAATTCACATTCTTTTACCAAGACCAGAATCCAATCAAACTACGGTAAATTACAAAGAAATAATAAACGAGAGTGTATTTTTAAATAAGATTTTGCAAATCCTTCTGATTGGATTGTGTTGAACTTTGAACACTGCTTTATTTATGATAGAAGATGCAGAACTGAAATAACAAGGTGCTAAGTTATTTAAAATTTATAGGCCTAGTTGTCGCAAGTAAATTGATTATTTAAATTGCTAATATGTGCACACAACGGGTTTAGGCATACACTTAAATTGGTTTATTGAATCTCAAACAAAAATTGTTACAACTTTGTGTTAGTACTGTATGAATGCTGTTGTTAGGTATGAACATGACTGATTTAAGTAATGGTGGCACAGCTGTAAAGTTAGGCGATTTCATACAAAACTTAACCCTTTCAGATATGTCACACAAAGCAAAGTCGACAAAGGTATTATTTATTAATATAAAGTTACTAATGACATCAGATCTACTCTAATTTAAAGTTAGATTCATTATCATTTTACGATAATTGAAAAAAATTCTGTTATTATGATATTGTTACCGATGGCATATCGAGTTCTTAAACATTTCTTTTGTCTGTATTTCTTATAAAATAATTGGCTGCAGCTCATCAATGAGTATAATATTTTATTGCCCTTGTTTATATTACAGTTGTTTATATTAAGACTCCCTCTTATCCGGACTCGTCGGGACCGCGGCCAGTCCGGAAAACGGTTTTTTTCCGGTTAAACCGACGTCCCCAAAACTCGTTAAAACGTACCGTTTAAATGCATTCTGTATATAGTATTTGACTTAAATTTAGGAGAGCATTGTATTCACACATGTGATCACTGGTCTCAAATCTTTCCCACGGGAACAGTCGTTTCATTACCTCCCACTTCCTGCCGATCTAGTCCAGTTAAACCGATGTGATGATAAAAATTGTCCGGTTAAAGAGATGTCATTTCTGCCATGTGTAGTCCGGCTAAACCGATGACCGGTTAAAAGGTGTCCGGATAAGAGGGAGTCTACTGTAATCCAATTTATATAATCTGTAGAATCAAATATTGCTAACCAAAAGCCGCCATATGAATGATTTTGAGTTTTTAAATAGTGTTGAACGTATAGGTATTGTTTTGAACCAATGAGTAAAAACTTTATAAGAAGCAAAATGCTTATGGAGATTTGTCAGACTCAAATTTGTCCTGTGAAATGAGCTTCGCGTCGCCGCTGCGTTACTCTACCTCTCTAAGCCGATTCTTTGCCTCACTATCTCACTCAGTCAGTTGACATGGCGGCGCGTTCGTGATAGTAGCACCTTCGATACCTAGCGGCCGCCACGGGAACTATCCGAAATTCAAATATTCCCATACTGAATATTTAACATAACCATTGCGCTTCTTATAAAGTTTGTATTCATTGTTTGAACCTTTGACCATTGATGCAACTTGATTTTAAAACTTGAAACAGTATAGGTATTATTCTATGACTTTATAAAAAAATACTATTTAATGATTATAAAACAGTGGCGCCGTGTATCTTATGCTGAAGCAATTATTCTGCAACTTGTCTAAATAAACATAAATTCAGAATGCACGCATCGTTTTAATAATCACTTTGAAGGGTTATTGTTGTGATTCAATAATAATCACAATAGTCAGTATCCAATAATCAATGGTTTAAACACATCATATTGGGGTTGTTAAACTTATTATGTCGTAGATTTCAATTGTTTCTTGAACATAGATGATTCTTAATGTAGCTCAGATAAGCTTGTAAACTTTGTAACCCATCAGGCCAGAGCATATATGATTTATTTACTTTTCTTATGTTTGTAAAATAGATTTAATTTAACATTTTAAAAGCCAAAACGCATCATGTCAACCAGAAGACCTGTATCTGCTAACATTTTAGAGCTTGTTATTTATTTTTCATACCTTTGTTAATTTAATATTGTGTAAATAAATATTGTACATAGTATAATTTAAATAAATCAAGTTTTGTATATTGACAGATTTGTAAATATGGTATACCTAAAACATGAAAAGTAGAAGCGAGAAGCATTGTGTACTGAAGAAATATTTTAATAATTAGAAGTATACCTAATGCAATTGATTGATATTCTAGAACCTGTTATTATCATTTTAAACTTTCATTGAATTTTTGTACAGAGAAAGCTATTACATTAATCCATAGTAAGCACGTACTTTGTACGTAAAACCTTATGTATAAACTTCTTATGTAAAATGTTTGTATATATTATCTCATGAAAATTTTGTATCAAAATAAATACATGATAGTTATTATGATTCGTTTTACTTGCATTTGGAACCAAAATACTGGTTTTATCAGCAGCCAACACACATTATTTCGATGCTGATTTTGAAAAAGGTCTCCTCTAGAAATGGTTCTCCTTACCTAAAAGATCTCCTTCAAGACAAAATTGGTTAAAATAAATCAAGAAATGAATATTGATAAATGATAATTAACTACTTGTTTAGCTGTGGGACACATACTAATGGTATGTTCTACCATAGGCAAATAGAATAAATATAGACTGTCAAAGGAAAGTTAGACCACCGCTAGGTTTGCCGTGTAGTTATGGCGCACACCACTGCAGACGAGGAGTGTTCATTGATGCTCCCTTTTGCTTGCTACCCTACGCAACAGAGTACTTTGCTCACCCATTGAACCAGCCCTGTATATCATCACCATCTGTTAACCCTTACATGGAAGTTCATGATACAGAGCCCACGGGAGTACCAGTGATGCTGTGGCACCCCCTTTACAGCCAGACTTTTCCGGTATCTATCTGCCTATTTTATTATTTAATAAAATAGGCAGATTTTATCTAAAGGAAGATACTCATTTATCTACAATAGTTAAACTATGTTTGATAAACAAGTTAATCTTTAACACGTTGACTACCGACAGTCCTGATTTGGGCCACTGGGAGTTCCCAGCAGACAGAACCTAAAAACAAAACTCTTACCTCAGACTAATCCATAGTAACCCAGAGACTGAACATTTTTTTCTTTTTTTTTTATGTTTTGAGAATATTTACTCATAAAAGTAGCAATACAATTTTTTATTTCAGTATTATTTTAACATTTTTATTGCGTATATGAGGGGGAGTGACATTCTCGAATGTGTGGCAGGGCCGCGTTAAGGGTCAGTGGAGCCCTGGGCAAACCCAAAAACAAAAACACCCCCCCCCCCTTTTTTCCTAGTGCGGGCAGACGGTGGTTGTGGGGCACTCAGTGGGCGCCCCCAAACCTCCGGCGCCTCTGGGCATATGCCCAGTCTGCCCGTTTATAAAAGTGGGCCTGATGTGTGGCCTTTCTCTGGATTGACAACAGTACCATTTCTATTGTACCGTATATAAGTATATTTAAGATAAACCCATAGGGAGTACAAAATTCCTACAGCTGTACTAGTGTCGTTTGTTCTTAATGTACTGCCGGAAACTCAGTCTTTCCACAATACCAAAGCCTCATACGGAGATAAATATTTGCTAGATGAAAATGACTTAGTAAAATTACCAAGTAAATGATCCAGTACGTTTCTTATTTTATAAAGTTTTGTTCAAGTAAAGGCTCTAGGCCAGGATTTTGAAATGTAGAAAAAGGAGGATAGCAGCTACCTTGAAAGTGTAGATAGGCCATAGAACATGTAGAATCAAGAAGGTAGCATAATTCAGAGTACAGAAGGACACCACACCTGCACTACGGAAAACCTAATATATCAACTGGAGTGTCAACAATGCCAGGCCCAATATATAGGCATGACAAAAAACACCCTAAGAGAAAGAATGTATGGCCACCGCCAAGATGTCAAAACGGGTAAAGAAAAACCTGTGGCCAACCATACCAACAAACTCAGCATGGACATTGATAGTTGCTTCACAACTTAAGTCATAAAATCACTTCCAAAGGATGAATGCAAGCCTTCCATGTTATGATGGTGGGAACTGGCATTCCAGTATATAACCAACTTCAGAACTCCCCCCCAACCTTAACCTAAGATAATCCTGTCCCAGCAGCTATCTAAATACATAATAAACCCAGTGTGTATATATGGAGAGCGAGCTGGTCTATGAATAGTCAATGAATAGTCATTTATTCCATCTTTAAACAATACAATATTGTAATTGATTTCGTCAAAAAAATCCTTAAACTAATACACAAAATTATCACAGTAGCTATAAATTATATCACAGATTGAGATTGGCTGCATTTAATTAATTGTAAACATGAAAACGACCAATATTCGACATGGCTACACAGTGTAAATTATTGATTCTAAGATAGAGTTTTTAACAACTAAAAGATGACAATAAAAATAATTCTAAATGGAATTCTAATAATAATCAACAAAGATAAAAAAGTTTATCAATCTGCAAAATTGATGACTTATAAAACTATATTTCCATGTTTAAAAAATTCTTTGGTACAGTAAAAGGGGTTTGCAGAAAGCCAGACAGACAATTTCTTTTTGAAAACCTTAAAAGGAAGTGATCTTGATTCACAATTCAGGTTGTTAAAAAACCTAATTTCTGACACAAAATGACTTTTGACAGTTGATTGTAGTCTACACTGTGGTAAATCAACCAGACTTTTGTTTCTGGTATTATAACTATGTACATCTTCACGTAGCTTACAACTATTTTCATTTTTCTTTATATTAACAAGACAATAAAATATATAAACATTAATAACAGTTAAAATACCTGTGCATATAAATAGCGGTTTGCAATGAGCTAGCCTATCCGATTTGGTAATAATCCTCACAGCCTTTTTTTGAATAAGTAAGATTTCATGTATGTGAGAACTTCCTCCCCACAGCATATTGCCATAGCTCAAGACTGAATGAAAAAATGCAAAATATGCATGACGCAAATAACAAGAAGGTATATTGTTACTCAAACTCTTAAGTAGATACACAACTCTAGATAGTTTTGAACAAACAGATTCAATATGTGGTAACCATGTCAAATTACAATCTATGACAATCCCAAGAATTTTTTTATTACTTGTTTCATTATTCATGTCAGGTCTATTTTTTGTTCGACAGATTAAATGCTGTGTTTTATTTTCATTTAAAACAAGACCATTTGCACAAAACCATTGCTTAGCCTCAGTTAAGGTTCTTTCAGAAATGAGAGAAAGATCATTTGTATTTACACCTACACTAAGAAAAGATGTATCATCAGCAAACACAGTTGTTGAGGAAAGTGATACATTAGCTGGTAAGTCGTTTATTGATAAAAGAAACAATAATGGACCCAAAATCGAGCCCTGAGGCACACCTGTTTTCACTTCCACGCGTGTTGATCGCTCACCCTCTGCATCAACAAACTGTGTCCTTTCACACAAATAGGATTGAAAAAAATTCAAAGGCACACCATGAACACCGTAATGTTTAAGCTTGCTTAATAGAATATAATGATCAATCAAATCAAAAGCCTTGCTCAGATCACATGCAGTGATCTGAGCAATGCTCTTGTCCTCAAATGCCTTTATGACTCTGGACAACATTGAGTCTATAGCATCTACAGTTGACAATTTTTTCCGAAAACCAAACTGAGTTTCACTTAAAATTTGATTATTTGCTAGAAAGGAACACATTTGATCATAAACAACACGTTCAATAATCTTTCCAAACAAAGGTACTAAAGATATGGGACGGTAATTACTCACATCTGATTTCTTCCCCTTTTTGAAGACTGGGACAACCCTAGAACATTTCTGAGATTTTGGAAAAATACCCTCTTTTAAACAAAGGTTGATACAGATTGTGAGCGGTGACAGAATTGCACTGATCACTGACTTGAGAACTGTGTTGGACAAACCATAGGCATCTTTACTTTTTGATAATTTTAACTTAGACACAGCACTGATCACATAATCTTCCGACACAGGATCCCACTCGTTCAATGAACTTTTTTGATGGAACTCCATGTTCTGTAGTAGATCCGCAGAAGACACCATAGATGGTGGGATGGTCGCCTTGGCTGCCTGCACCGACTCGATGAAATATCTGTTGTGTTGCTCAGCCGAGATACCAGTGTCCTCCCTTGACGTTGATGATTCAGTAGATTTACGAATTAGGGACCATGCCGCTTGACATTTATTGTTGGCATTTTCTATAAATTTCATATTAGCAACCATTTTGGCTTGTTTTACTGCATTTTTGTACAAGTTTCGAAGTTTCTGAAAGTTTTGTAGGCTAATAGAGCTCGGTTGGTTTTTAATGAGTTATATATACTGTTTGATAAGCCATGACAGTATTTTTCATGGCCTCCAATTCAGGAGTATACCAATGAATTTTGGGTTTGATTTGAACTTTAGCAGTTTCTGCTTTCTTTGTAAGAGTTTTCATAGCTTTCTAGTGGTTAGAGCGCAGGACTCCGGTTCCTGGGATCCCGGGTTCGAATCTCGCCAAATCACCAATGGATTTTATATAAGTGATAATGCCGTAACCCCTAGATCTAGCCTGAAGTTATGTGAAAAACAATTCCGGGCTCGTGCCTAGCGTCCTAGGACAAAAAAAGTGTGTATATAAATTATATGTGTGTGTGTGTGTGTGTGTGTATAAAGTTGTGTACATAGTTGTAAATAGACTAATGATATGTGGCAACCCTGCATAGTTGGCAACAGCCATGACAGCAGCCATTTTGTAATTTGTAAACTCTTTCTCTACACTTGACAAAGTTCCTCAGGGGTCGAAATTTTGTGTGCACAGTGCATTTTCTACATGTTCTATGGCCTACCTACACTTTCAAGGTAAGCTACTACAGTATAAGCAAAACGGGAGTGCCGATGGAGACCAGGTAGGTTCACTCACACACACGCAGGCCTCACACACACACAAGCGCAGGGGATTAGGACCGGCCGTATTTTTTTTTATTTTGATGTGTTTATTATTTTTGAATTCCTCACATTATAACATGAAAAATCATACCAAATAACGTATAGATAACTGTATATTTACCATTCATGTGGGCCTATTATTAAATCACTTTAAAATAAAAACATGAAAACGTCCTCAATCTACAAACATTTCAGGTTTAAAAGCTCAAACTTCGTGTAAATTTATCAAAAATAATTTATTATTCATTAAAATATACACTCAAAAATAATTTACCGGTACAAATATAATTTACTTATAATATTTACATAGCCTGTTTTATTTTTTAAATACATAACTAATACCAGAATGTCATCACTTACTAACTCTTTTTTATCATAATATGCCATAATGTGACGACGCACTGCTGCCATGTCGAACTCATCCAAACCTG